TCCTTGTGCTAGGGGGATTGAAAGTGAAAACTTTATTTAAAAAAATGTCTATCGATCAGAGAACACAGAGAATATTTATATATATATTAGAGTTATACAGGAAATCTTAGCCACTAAGTTTCTCCTCTACCACGTTTTATTTTTTGCTTATCCTTCTGTCAAAATGAAAAAATAAATCCTGTATGATACTATATATTTGTTATCTTTATTTAACATTATTACATTGACTAACTGACTACATTGTGTTTCCCTGCCAGTTGGCTATTGCAGGTGCCCCAGTGACTGTATGGATGGCGTACGACACAGGCTACACAGAGCGCTACATGGATGTGCCTGAGAACAACCAGCAGGGCTACGAGGAAGGCTCTGTGGCCCTGCACGTGGACAAGCTGCCCAGCGAGTCAGTATACACACTCATACAGACACAATTCTCAATAGTTCAGATATTATTTAAACCAATGTAACCATACTGCATGTTCTGAGTAATTGCAATAGATATTGTACTGGTTCCATCACGACTGCAGGGGTACTTCCTAATTACCGTTAACTCTGGCTTCATATTTGTTAATAATCCCATCGAAGTCCTATCATTGACAGTTTTGTTTTTAACACACGTTGGGACGCCCTTCATTCAACAGAAATGTGTCTTTGGGCTCATTCTAATCTCTGAGCTCAAATGGTTCACAATTCTGAATCATTAGATCAAAGCAATGCTTAAAGAAAATGTGTCAGGCATGTACACGTAGGCCTGTCGCGATAATCCATAAATTGACTTATCGTACCTACGGACTTGAATGAGCCGGGCGGTGTGTCGCATTTGTTTAAAAAAGGTAGCGACAAAAGCAGGCAATACCACGCATTTTAAACTACACCTAAAACACAACCCACCCCATTCCGTTTTCCCAGCTGGTAGCAAACACGGCAGCTGGAGATGGAGAGCCCCCACCTTCCCGACAGTTTACAATCAAAGATGCATGTGTGCCCGACAATGCAAACATGTTGGTGTTCCTTGCTCGAAAACTTTGAAAAACAGATTTGGATATGGCCTGTTGAGGCATCTGGGTCTTTGTATGGACAGTGGACTGTACACTTGACTGTTGTTTTAAGGAGGGTTTTTATGCTTGTGAGACAATGTGTGCTCATATTTATTTGTAGTGCCAGTAGGCTCTGTTTTTAGTAACTGAAGGACCCTGGCGGCCCAACAAACAGCGTGTTGGAGCACTGCCCCAGAAAGTTGAAATGCTGCAGCTGCACACAAGTTCAGCATCCCAACTTTCTATAAATGTATTTGAACCCATGAAGGCTTTTCCTGTTTTAAATCAAAAATGAAGGGGGGTGCAACATGTGTTTTGTATGCCTTACCATTGTATGGAAGCGTATCATATTGTAACCATGTAATCCTTGTCATTACAGGCCCAACCGTTTGCTGATTCTCCATGGATTTCTAGATGAGAATGTGCACTTCTTCCACACCAATTTCCTAGTGTCACAGATAATCCGTGCTGGGAAGCCCTATCAGCTTCAGGTTAGCATTACAAGCAATATTTCACCCACTCACAAAGTTACCATGAAATATCTCCGGACATATACCTTCATCATAAATATCTGAGTTTCCCTTAAAAAATCTAGAAAACCATCTGAACATTTTTTTGTATTTTGGCTTAGAATACTAAAATGTTTAACGGTAGTCAAAAACAATGGATGAATTACTGTCAGGAATATATGTGAAGGGTGAGAAGATATCTTTCGAAGCAGTTTTTACATAATAGTCACAGAAAAGGTGTTTCAAACTGAACCTTTTGTATCATACTAAACTGAATACCTTTTGGGTTTTTGATTAACTAAACAAACATTTAAAGACATCACCTCTGACTTAGAAACTACGATTGACATTCAGTATTTTTTGACATTTTGTAGACCAATCAAATAATCTAGAAAAGGAAAATGAAAATAATCCTTAGTAGCAGCTCTAATTTTGTCAACCTGTTTAATTTCTCCAGGTTTACCCCAACGAGCGACACAGTATTCGCTGCCCTGAGTCTGGAGAGCACTACGAGATAATGCTGTTGCACTTTCTACAACAATACCTCTGAAATGAGACAACAAGGGAGAAGTGAAGTCAAGTCCCCTCTGTCCTCCTTTACCCCTCCAGCTCACCCCCATCTCTTCTCTCTCTGACTTCTGCACCCCAACCCTAGTCTCCACCTGTACACCATGTCATCAAGAAACTATCGAACACTCTGCAGCCAAACACTCTCTCCGGTGAACTTGTCACCTCACTATACTTCCCTCTTTTGCTCTCTCTGTCTCATCAATGCCCCCCCCCCTTCTGCTCTGTGTACAGTCTGGGGTATGGTTTACGAGCACAGAGAAGTGGTGTCTCACCCTGAAAGCTGAACAAAGACAAGGACACATGGAGAAATGTTTGCAGGCTGTGTCACATTGACTCATCGCTCACCCACGTCCTCATCTCTGCAACCATTAAGGGTTTTTGCCAAATGTTAAAGTGTTGCCCCCCCCCCCTCCCCGCTCCACTTGTTTTATTCACTTGAGTCATTGGTAGGAACGGGGTTACAGTTCACAGATAAAAAAGGAAATCTATACACGCAGACATGAGCTCACACACTAAACGTAATGTGAAATACAGTACAAGCACACACGTAGAATTGCAATATCCATACATACTGTGAGTCCGAACCTTGCAGTTTGTGTAACCATGAAGTAAAAGCGAGACTCTTCCTCTATCCACTTGTTTTAAGTGTGTGTGTTGTTTAAAATAAAATATTTTTATTCTTTTTTTTAAATGAGTGCTGACATGAGCTGGCCGCACATTGATATTTTTGCGTCGCTCTCTCCCCTCACATTACATTGCTCGAGATGTCTGCTTGCCTTCTTAACACATAATTTATATTTGCCAAAGTACCTCTTGACTCTTGATCATGCTGGTATTTCATTTTTTTACTGCAATAAAGACAACAGGAGGGTGAGCACTGGAGTCTTACAACAGCTTTGTACCACCGGAATACAATTTGTACATGATAAAGAATAAATGTATGAATCAATCACATGCTCTGTGGCTCCTGTGTTGTTCTGTTTCATGGTTTGCAGGATGCAACCAGGCAATGCTTTTAGGAAATGCATCGTATAAACTGTGTTTTCTTATGTTGCTATTCCCCTATAACCCATAATTAGACACCTACAATTATAGGCCTCCTCTCTTTCCTGAAGCTCCACCACTGCTGCAACATCACGGCTTTCAAGCACCTTGCTCTAGTATAGCAGCAGCTGCTTGATGGCCCTCTTGCCTCCTTCAATTAGCAGATAGCACAGTTGCTATGGAAACCTTTCAATGATAGGGTACTCCTCTCACAAGTGAGTGATGCCCAACCTTGATCTTATAACCACACACAGATCAGATGGGAGGCAGCTGGCCTTATTTAAATCACCTCAGCACAAAGGCCTCGGTGTGAAACATCTTCAAGCAGGTGATGAGGTATGAGGACATCTTGAAACTATCAGGAATAGTTCGACAAATGTGCTCCATGAAGCGTTAGCTAAAATGATTGACGCTCATTTCAGTGTGGTTAAATATGAAGCAACCGCAAAAAAGCAAGTTAGCTTAGTTTAGTATGAAGCTAACTCTATCAAAAGTTACAAAATAAAGCTCGCAACATTCTTTGTTTGCTTTTACACAAACACAAGTGTAAAACGGCTATTTATGTTGGTTACTGTGTTATGTAACTAACGTTGAGAAAAGCTCGACTGGTTACTCCCAGCCTCAGAATAGTAAAGAAATAACCTTCCCATTACCAATAATTAGCTTTAAAGGTTTCTGGTTAGCATTTTTTTTTAACTTTCAGACAGAGCCAGGCTAACTTCCGCTGATAGCTGTTCCCCAGTTCCACTTTATGCTAAGACAAGCTAACAGGTTGTAGCATCATATTTAATTATCAATAATATCATCTTTTACCCTCAGCAAAAAAGTAAATACAACATGTATTGAATACAACTTTGCAACATGTGTAAAACACAATGGAAATGTGTCTTTGGCACTGTCAAATAAGATAAAATAACACACACCATGACAATTCATAAACACCAAAAGAGGGGAATTGCATCTTAAAGTAACTAAATGGCCTCAATACAAGTGCAGAATGGTTTGTTCATCCACTGGCTTGGTACCATTAACACATTAGTTGAATTAAAATATCAGTTGATTAAAATATAAGTTGACAAGATAAGAAAATAAGCTCTAGAGTTACCATGAGTAAGAAAACAATATTTTTGACAAGAGGTTTGTAGAGTAAGTAAGCTGCTCTGTATGTTTCTCTGCAGGTAACAAGGCTGTCCCCATGTCTTTATATAACGTATTGCGTGGCGGCCAGCTTTGACTTTGACCTGCTTCTACACCGATCAGCTGCAGGCAGAGGTCAGTTCAGAGCACACTGCATCAGATCAGCTGTTTCTGAGGCCGATCTTGAGCCACAGTGCTCAGAAGATCAGTAGGGATGAAGCACCTTGACAGTAAGCAGGAAGTTTTACAGTGAAAAATTAAAGCTGACACACTGAAGCTTCTCAAGTTTCCTTCCACGTAATGTAACTAAGCTTATATCAAAATAAGACTAGCCATGTGTGGCTTAATGCAATGGTTTAGTAATACTGTATGGGTTTAGACCTGCAGAGGATTCCAAAGAAAGTCTATTTTTCCACCCAGGTTTGGTTACTAAAAAAGATCATGTTCTGTTAAACTGAGAGGGTTATTTTTCAAGTCTAAAATGTAAATACATAGTGGATAAATCAAAAGGCACATCTTGATCCTTCGAAAATAACAATCTATGAAAAATGTGCAATGTTGTATCCATATTTGTTTTTCTGATATTTGTGAACTTTTGTATTAGTTCTGTTGTCAGTTTACTTTCATGCTCGTATACCACTCTAAATTGTGTTGCAAACTTGTGGATACTTGTAGATAAGGGGCACATAATACACAGACAAAGCAATAATAGTTTAGAGACATTTTATTAGCTCATAATGACCCCAAAATGGTTAGGCCTCTTAAAAAACAACTGTACATCTGGTAAACACGACAAGGACAATATAAATTACAGACAGACAGCACCAGAAATATATATTTATATATATATGGATTCTTTTGCATTTAAATAAGGAAAGGGAACATCTAAAAGAACAAACACTGAAGTCATGAGTACAACAGATAATGTCACAAAAAATCAGTAACAGTTATATTCTGAAAGACGGAAGACATTCCTTCATACACTAAGTACAAAACCATGCCTCTCTTTTTTAAATAGGTCAATATGACCTAACATCGTCAAAATCACCAAGGAAAAATGTCAGTAAAGAATATGCTTGATTTTTTCCACAATTGCAAACGGAAAATATGTCGTTCAAAAGGCTGGAATGGTTTTGAGTGCGCCATGAACATCAGTCTTAACACAGTTTCTGCTCATTATACTAGTTTACAGTGATTTATAACTTTACATAATGCTTTTGAAAACAAATGTCATCATGCTCATGCAAAAAACAAGTCTTTGTTTAAATTAGGTCATTATTTGGTCCGCACCATTGGGCTTAAAACTCCTACTTAATCGGCCTCCATTTCACCCCTACATGCATTCTTTACAAATCTGTTTTTGAGCTGGCAGTGCTGTTTACCTGCTACAAAACCACATTCAATATCAACAACAGCCCACATATATAGTTAACACCACATGTCTGGCGATGGGTCTCTACTTGTTGCAAATCATCAGTGGCTCACAGCACAGTGGACGTGCCGGGACTCGCCCTGCAATGTTCTCTTGTCTAGGGGCCCCTGCTTTGTGCCAAATAGAAGGAATCCACTGCAATGGTTCAACATATGAAAAACTTTCCACTGCACATTTAGTCTCTTTTCCATCTGTGGCTCTGGGTGCAGGGGAGGAATCTTTTCTTCTCTCAGAGAACAGAGCAGGGGAAACCTGGAACTCATGTAATGTGAGTTATTTTTGCTTCTTTTTTTGAGGGCCTTGACTTTGGTGTAAGGTCTCCCTTGCAGGGAGACAACCAGGGGAAATGATGTGTCTACCTCATCAACCAAGCATCAAGAAAAGAAAGAATAGTACAACATCTACTTCTTTCTGCCCCCTTCCTTTTAACGCAACTTTAATCTGTCTCTTTATATTTTTATGACTTATTGGTGATCGCAGCGGGGGCGATCATCATACTGCTGGACTTCAGAGGGTAGTAGCGGCCCCTCCAGGTCTTCCAGAAGATGCTCTGCTTCCTCTGGTGTCGCTGCTTGGGAGGGGGACTCTGGAAGTATCTGCCGTTCAGGTTGGAGCGACCGCAGTTACTGAACCACCAGCCACCTAGCATGACAAAGGACAATATGATGTTAGGTGCTGCTTCTAAGAGCTATCCTGATTTTTAAAACTGGGAATAAATTCACATCGAGTCATTTATCATTGTGATTGTCTTACCAGAAAGGTGCTTGGCGCAGTTGATGTCGTTTTTCAGGTCGTTGTCTTGGTCGCTGGTGGAAAAAGGCAGGCCGGAGGTGGCGTCAGTCCCCAGGGAAGTCTCCAAGGGGCTGAAAGCTTCAGCCTTCTCAATCTTGAGCGAGTACTTGGTTTCCTCTCCGCCCAGATGAAAGGGGAGGCGCACATCTTCTGAATCTCCACTCCAGTCAGAGAGCTTGATGTTGAGGATGTAGTTGCCATCTTTAGAAATGGAGTGGATCTTTTCTAGCCCCAACCAGAACTCTCCTAGAAAAGAACAAATATACATGGTGAGAAAACTACCCTGAGTGGGGTCATTGACTCCTGCTACTTTGTTGCCTTTGATCCATTTAAGCTTATCAGCGATAAGGTGCTTTGGGGACAGATCCTGCCCTCTAATGCAGTGGTTGTAAATGACAGTAATTCTGTTTGAACTAATCTGACCATGGCCAGGCTGGCTAGCACATGTTAAGTTAGTGAGAGTGAGATCAAAGTCAAAAGAGCATTTACCATTCAGGCTGCCAAAGCCCTTCTCGTAGGCCTGCCACTGCTGGTCAAAGTCAACTGAGCCATCTTGACGCCTTTGGATCACTGTCCATCCGCCATCTAAACAGAAAGACAGAAACGGATTGATCAGAAAATGTTGTTTCAACCAAAACATCAGGGAAAACTGCCAAGTCGTTGACTGATTGTCTAGGTAGTAAGACAATTGAACTGATGAGGGCCAAAATGGGCTTACCGGTTTTCATCTCACAGAAGACTTTAAAGGGCTCTGCATTGATTGGCTGGATGGTATAGATCCCACTGGTGGTCTCTCCTCTCAAGAACAGCTCATGACAGTCGGATGCCATCTCTAGAAGAAGAGTGAAAATACAAAGGTTAAGACAATCAGCTCATCATTATCATAATTTCAGGGCTTGGCAACCTGAATATGTGACACATGTGTTGCTCAATCAACTGCCTTGAACTCTGTTGATGTAATGGAGGTTCTCTGGGCTGCTGCCAAACTTTAGCTGAAATCTGAGCTTGTTTACCTAACCCAGCATTGATAAGTAGGCCCATTTACACTTAGGAAACCTCTCAGCGACGTGTTTCTCTGCACGGCATGAGCCGGGAGTCTGCAAATACGATTATCGTTACGAGTGGGCTTATCTTGAGTTATAAATGTTTACCTGATAGAGCCTTTGACCTAGCTTCAAGTGAGAAAATGTCTCGGTTTTGAATATGACCTTTCTCCCAGTTCCCAAGCAGACCTCCCTCTTTACAGCTGCTTGGCCTACCAGGCTATTGAGTTTCACTCACTACTACCTATTACATTCCTCAACCCCCCCTTCTCTTTGGATCGTCACATCCCCCTCACGTGCACAACAGCCCGGCGGTGAGGTAGCGGTGCATGGCTGGTGCATGGCTGGTGCATGGCTGGTGCATGCACAGAGAATGATCAGAGGATAGTGAAGGGGGGGGGGGTAGGGTATGTTGGGGAAGGCAGGGGATTCCAGAGCCAATTGGAGCTGTAATCTGGCCAATGAGGAAGGGGTAAAATATCGCACCTCTTGCATTCCTTTTCTCATCATTCATGACATCATCATGTGATGCTATTTGTTGAATAGCTGTAATAATTACAAATAAAATGTCAAAATGGGTTGATTTATTATTGTTTGGTATTGGCCTGTATATTGTGTCAATGTGAGGACACCAGCTGACCACAGAACCTCATTAGTGTGTAATGACCTTTCCTCTAGAGGCATGAACCCTTGGTGGCTGGTTGTGGCTGTAGTATGCCTAAGGGTCAGGGGTTGTCCTGAACTTTGGCACACTTCTTCCTCATTACAATAGGAGAGAGATGGAGGTGGGTGGTTTGTGTTTGGGGATGGGGGAGGAGAGAAGATGAATGAAGTGGAGGAGGAGGAGGAGGAGGGATGTCTGACTCCCTGACAGATCTAGGGGAAAGGTTGCTCATTCTTGAGGGATGTACAAATGTTTGTTTTACACAAAAAGGCGGGACGTCCTAAAAAAGGAGGAGGAGGCAAGGGTCTTTAAAAACTGCGGGATATCTGTACAAAGTTCACAGATAAATATAGACCACCATATTTTCCCATTTTCTCCTACTTTTTTTCTTGGCTCAGGCTCAAGGGCTGTAATCCGAGCAACATTGCATGCTAGATTTGTACAAAGCCTTCTAGGTTCCCCTCATCCACCTCCCACCCCCCACACCACAGAAACGAACAGTATGAGTAATCCTGTTAAACTGTGTGACCCTGAGTGAACACTCTGAGAGACCAGCAAACTTTCCCCCAGTTGAAACCTTGCCAAATAAACGTGTTCCTTCTTTCACCTCATTCCTCAAATCCTGCTGATATCAGAGCTCTGAGGTGTATTGTGACTGGCTGACTAGTCTCATTTGTTGCCTTAGCAGTGTTCACCTTTCCCCTACTTCTCATCCACGGCCATCAGAAACAGAGGTTCAATATATTTCCAAGTGACTTCATTTTATTCATCTTTATGAATTAAAATCTACCATCTATGCAGCAATTAGCTTTTTTTCAGCATTTCCTCCCTTCATTCCTTTTGTCCTCTTTAAAGGCCAAACAGACCTTAAGTTTGACCAGTGTGTGTTGGGTAAGAAACCTGAGCGTGTGTCCCAGTTTGAGAGTATTCAGCAGGGTACAGTCTGGATGAAAGCATTCATTATGACTGCTGGTCTGGGAGCAGCAGCTGCTTGGCGTGGCTTCACACTGAGGGCATCATTTACTGCCTTTTACAATTACTGTAAGCCACAGTATGAGGGGACTTAACTGAACCTCATGCTGACAACTTTAATTTGCCCATTTCATTCTGTAAGCACTTTAAACGATGATGATTTAAATACGTTTCAAATAATGCTATTAAACCAAATGCAAATTAGATATACTTTAGTTCAGAATACGGAAAAGTTGGATGCCTAAATTATATATTTAAATACATTAAAGTACAGTAGTTAGTTTACCAGCTAAAAAGCACGGCTGCTGCAAGAAGCCTAACAGTTTATATTTCTGGCGTCACGCTGGGTAGAGAAGCGTGTCCTCAATTGATTAGATTCCTTGATTTTAATTGCTAGTGATTTTAAGCTTCTTTCTGACCTTACTAAACAGATGGTGTGCCACATTTGGCGTCAGATCTTGTCCAGTCGGCTTAAGAAGGTGTAAGGAGAGGATTTTGGGCGCTTTCTGGCTTTACTTACCGACTGGTGAGTCGCTTTGCTCGGCGACGCTGCTCTGCATGTCATTCTGGCTGCTCTGCAGGGAAGTTCTCTGACGGGCCTGTTGAACCTGAAGAAGTGACAAACCAATGATGTAATTGCAGAAAAAAAATAAATAAATAAGAAAGATAATTCTCAAAGATTATTCTGATGCAAGTTGTAATGTTAACGCTTCCTCACCTGGCTCTGCAGTGTCCTGATGCGCACATTCTGCTTGTCAAGCTTCTCCTGCTGGAGTCTGATCCGCTCCATCAGATCGTCAATGCGTTTGTTTTGACCCTCCAGCATCAGCTGAGAGAAAAACCGACACAAAAGAACCAAATGTTCAGCTTTTGGTCATCTTTATTACACAGTGCTTGTGCATACAATGTGGCATTGAGCTTCACAGCCACAGAAGTAACCAGATGAACACAACAAACAGTTTGCAGGGTTTCATTGAGAAGCCCTAAACATAGACCCCACACATTTCCACTCCTCAATGAAAAGCCCTTTTCCTTTCTCACCGGCTGTGGTGTGGTTATGTAACTCACTCACAGCGCGGGTTTTCCATCCCACTATGAAGTCTTTCAGGCTCACATACTTCATTGTAAGCTGAGACTTGCAGAGAAAGTGCAACTCGCATAAGCCCCCTTCTACTGTATCATATGGCCGAATACTCTACAGGTTGTAAAATCACCCAGCTGTGGATAATTATTCACACATTCTTGCAGCTGATGCGTGCAGATCCCTTTGTCTGTCAGGCTGTAGTGTTTCCCTGCACGTACTGCACGGTCTTGCTCAATGCCATGCAGGCTTGTTAAGCAACCCCCTCCCCTCCACTCCACTACACCCACCACCCACTGCTTGCCCTTTGTGCTTTTTGATTTAGTGCCTTTGAGCTGAGGAGAAAAAGCCCCCCCATAAAAGCCAATGGCCCATGCATACTGTACATCCACTAACTTGAGTCCCTTTGTGCAGTAAAGCAACATGTCATACTCTGAATGGGACTTTAGTTTGAAGTAATAAGAATATGAAACATGTTTTGAATACAGAAGAAATCTTATTTTCCTCCCAAACTAACTATAACTCCAATGCTTCACTGAAAAAGGAGAACAAGTATTGCATTCTCACCTGGATGTTGCGAGCATCACTGCTGTTCTTGGCCCCAGCGTTGGAGTCAGGCAGCCCAGCACCCCTCTGCAGCATGCTGTCCACCCTCTCCTCCAGCCGGTTCATCCTCTCGCTCATCGTCTTCCTCTCCTGATGCATCTCCTCCGCCTTCTCCCTCAGCTCGGCCGTGACATTGAGCAGCTGCCCCTCTCTGTCCTCCAGTCCATGGGCTCGAGCCTTCAGGGCCTCCCCCTCCATTCGCAGCTTCTGGCTTTCCTTCCCCAGCTCGGTCACTGTGCGATTGAACACCTTCAGCTTGGTGGAAATGTCCCTCATCTGGACTTTAGTTTTGTCCACGTGCTCCTTCAGCCCCTGGCCCAGCTGCAGCAGGCCATGAGCGATGACATTCACATCATCCCAAGCTGCGAACTGTACACGCTTCTCCTTGGCAGCACGACCGGAGGTTGAACCCCCTTTCTTCTCCAAGGGGAAACCTGTGGCCATGAGCACCACCAGGCAGAGAGTCAGAGTTGCCAGTGTTGTCTTCATTGTTGCTGTTTTCAAATTGTTGTAATATTGCATTAAATCTTGTGTCCTGTTGCAGAAGTGTGGAGTATTCTGCCCTGTGTTTTTGAGTTGGATTTGAGAGCTCAGTCGGCTTGCAGAGCGATCAGAGCGTGAACAGTTTATATAGTTTCACAGCCCTCAACTCTAAGCTGTAAACTGCCTGCCATTGGCCAGCCGAGGAGAGGGAGGGGTGCAGTTACTCTCAGGTTTTTGTCCCTCCTCCACCTCTCTGTTAACTATTCGTGTCAGAGGCGGAGGAGGGACATAATATAACAAAAAGATTTGCTTTCATCTCTGCACTGTTGGAGACAGGGACTTCATGACTTACTGGAGGAAACTAATCGCCAGCAGTGAAACAAATGTATTATTTTACTTCTGAATTAACACTAGTGGTAATATGTGTTTTGTTCCTGAGAACATGAGCTAATCTGGTTTATCGGGACACAGCAACACCCTGAAATTGGTCAACAGTGATACCAGAATCCCCATTAGGCTCATAGAATAGAGGGTGTGCCTGTTGGTGATAACTCAACAGATTATCAGTCAAAAACATCTCTGATGCATCTGCAGAAACATTGCAACCTTTTAACTGTACATTTGCGAATATAGGGCAGCACCATTCATTTAAGCCTGATTTGAAATTAAATGTTAAAAATAAATGGACTAATTATGAAAGTGAAAGGGGGAAATGCCATTACAGACTGTGCATGTCATCCTCACAAGACTGAGAATGAAGGGAAACTGAATTGCTCTGCATGACAAAAAAGAGATACTAGTCAGTTTCTTGACAGTATAAAATGCCAAGACAAACAGATATTGCTCTCTGACTGCATGTCATGGGAGAGAAGCATTTCCTAAATTATTAATTGTTCTTAAACTTTATTATCCTGATGACGACCATAAACCTTCACGAAAATACCGATAACCTCTTAAGCCCCACGGACCCGCCGAAGGGGCCGAAATCACAACATCTGCAAGCAAAAGTGTCTGAGGGCTTCTTAAGATTTAATAAACTATGAATGTTTCATATCTATGTAACGGGAAGAAACTCAGCTAACTGATCTTTTTTTTTTTTTTTTTCACAGAAAACCTCAAAGCTAACGCTGAGCCTCTGAATTAGCCACGGGCAAAACAATATTAAGGCCGTGAGCACAGAACTCTAGCTATACCGATCTATATACTTATTGGATCTGCACAAACAAGCTTAGATAACATCCTGAGATTCCACAGATTATAGAAATATAAGGATCATCACTGAGCGATCTGAACTCGTGACAGGGGAAGCAAATACAGACAACACACAAGTAGCTTTAGTTAGCAAAACAACTTTTCTTTGATTTATACGCATGCCTTTTGAATTTCATAGCATGAAAAGCACAGGTGTAAAGGCTTTGGTTCAATAAAAGAACTACACCCATTTTTATTATCCATTCTTGTTATTCCCATGATCTAATACAGTCCAAAAATCTAAGTGAACATGAGTAATTCTCTCCCAAATCTCAAAACTAGAGACTCAAAACTAAAATATGTATTTGTATAGTTTCTGATTCCATAGAAAATGAATGAGAAAATATGCTATAGTTGACACTGAAAGCATGCCAAAAGGATGTTTTGAGTATATATGGACAATTATGAAAGTGAAAGGGGGAAATGCCATTTCCGACTGTGCATGTCATCCTCACAAGACTGAGAATGAAGGGAAACTGAATTGCTCTGCATGACAAAAAAGAGATACTAGTCAGTTTCTTGACAGTATAAAATGCCAAGACAAACAGATATTGCTCTCTGACTGCATGTCATGGGAGAGAAGCATTTCCTAAATTATTAATTGTTCTTAAACTTTATTATCCTGATGACGACCATAAACCTTCACGAAAATACCGATAACCTCTTAAGCCCCACGGACCCGCCGAAGGGGCCGAAATCACAACATCTGCAAGCAAAAGTGTCTGAGGGCTTCTTAAGATTTAATAAACTATGAATGTTTCATATCTATGTAACGGGAAGAAACTCAGCTAACTGATCTTTTTTTTTTTTTTTTTCACAGAAAACCTCAAAGCTAACGCTGAGCCTCTGAATTAGCCACGGGCAAAACAATATTAAGGCCGTTAGCACAGAACTCTAGCTATACCGATCTATATACTTATTGGATCTGCACAAACAAGCTTAGATAACATCCTGAGATTCCACAGATTATAGAAATATAAGGATCATCACTGAGCGATCTGAACTCGTGACAGGGGAAGCAAATACAGACAACACACAAGTAGCTTTAGTTAGCAAACACGGAGATATGCTCACCTTAGCTGTTATTCTGATCAAAAGTCGTGTTCAATGGCATTAAAACGAGAAAAAACGCGGCTGAAGGTTAATCCATAGGTTATAGCAATGTGTCTGTCACTTTGAAAAAATTATTGATAATCCATAATTCGATTTTTATGCAAAAATCGTAGGAGAAAAATTAGCTGCTAATGGCAGCCACCAGAGGCTAGCGCAGCTTCCGGTTTTTCTACGCGTCACTATCACTCCTTATTTGGTAAGCTGTGTGTGTATGTGGAACTTTCCCTCGATTCCATTGGCTCTGACGGTTAGAAAGAGGTGTCAACCATCAAAATCGACCAAGGGGGGCCAGAGATATGGAAAATCCACCCAAATGACCCCAGAAGTGTTTTTTTGGGCAAAATCTCTCTAAAAAGGTCAAATGTCACTTGTTTTGCATCAATCTTGATACAGGGTACTTATTATATGTTGTACTTTGGATTCCTAAAGCTTTTAGTCTACTAACCCATCATCCAAGGGTAGTTTTCACTATAAGTAAAAAATAATTTTTGGACGGACACTATAATTTACAGTTTTTTTTACTACGTTCTGAATTTTCTTTAAAATAAAAAACATCTATATTGATACATATACATCCAACTCACAGGTTTATCATTACTTTGAGAAAAAAGATTATTAATTTTCCCCTTTTAGAAGTGTAGTTAAGGTCATTTGTTCTGGAAATGTCATTTTCGAGCCTGAGACCTGAAAAACAGGCTTGGGGCCTAACAGAAAAGCTTATGTCCATATGTTATTTTACTGATAGCTGAGATCATCCTTTAATAAACACATTTCAGTGTTTCAATATCCCTATTTCTTATTCCTCTAGCGTTTTGTGATAATGTGACTAATGGATGAGGTCAGAGACACTGTGGCGCACGTCAGGAATTAAACAGGCATGCAATTTGGCCTTAGTTGCTCTTCAGCAAATATCAGCTTCTGGAAAGCAGTGAGGACTGTGAGAATTAGGGGAAAGTTCACAGCAGACAGAATGCCCAGATTGCGGGGCAGTCGTTTTTTTACAACCCCGTCAGGGAGCTGTACGTGAACAAGGGCCAGACCACAAAGAAGGAGCTGCTTTAACCCTCTCCTGTCTGAAGCCCAGACTAAGTAGGTGAAAGGTAACTGGGAGACTGCTGACAATGCTGAGAGGGGAAACTCAGAGCAGAGGAATTAAAGGGCTCCTTTCTTATGCCCATGGAATGTAACAAACGTAAAGCCTTGGCAGAGAGGGCCTTCAAATAGGATAAACTAGTCCTGCTGTGATTCAGTTAAAAATAGGTGTTTCTAATTGAACCTATCCTATATACAAACAGATTAGCTTTTGTTTGTTCAAACGGTACGATCCAATACAGTAGGATTATCACTGAATGGGAACACATCTCTTAATTTGCTAAAGTATTACTATTAGGTAAAGAAAGGCTAAGTGGTTGAAAATATCTGTTTGCAGCAGAGTCGCAACATCTCAGTATTTCGTTTTGGTGACGGTCTAGTAGACGATTGACATGATTTTACATGTAAAGAACGCACATGCATTCTTGCATTCTTTTAAGACAGTAGGTGTGTTAAAGAAGAGCAGCAGGCATTTTCTGCGCTGATCGATTACAGCTATTTGTCATCCAAGGAGCTGGTTGTGGCGTTAAATGTCACGTTATACAATGGCCAATACTTAAGCAGGAAAATTGTATGGCACATTTCTGGGAGGTATGAGTGTTGTTTGATTTTGTGAAGATACTGTAAATGTGGGATGACTCATGCTTGTTTCCATCATGACCGTAAAGACAGAATTCCGTCGTAATTAAATAACAAATTGTCAGTCAGCATTGAAACCCTTGACTCAGTTGTGGAACCTGTGACTCAGTTGTGGAAGAAGAAGTGTCAAAAGTAGACTACAAGGCAAGTAAGTCGGATTGTATCAGTATTACTTTTGAGTAAGAACAAGAAGAACCAACAGACTACAGGTCACATTGTAGTCGAAGTAGACAATATATTCACTTGAGGACAGACTAGCAAAAAGTTTCAATAAACATTACTTTTTTGGAATAATGTCTAGTATAATGGGCCTTTCTCACAGTGATCAATGTTCTCGATATCCTCTAATTCGCACTCTTAAACCACGTTGTCAGAGTCGTATGTTACTGATCATCACCGGATCAACCACACCTCCCAACAGCTGGTTATTTAATTTCCCAAAATGGCCGCTCCCATCTCTTGCCGGCTTGCTGACCTTTTACCCAGATTCCAAACACAGAACATCTGTAAATCCCAGTGCAGCCCCCACGTAGTACAAGGGGATGGAGGCAGGAAGAAAAGAAAAAAGAGAACAAGAACAAAAAACAGCCGTAAAATTCTGGTTCCCATGGATCGATTGGGATATGTGATCTTTTCCATTTGGGACTGTTTTATGTGATTTTGTGGTTTTATAGTCACATATTTTTTTCCCGCCTGTGTATGCCAGAAATACATATCTGATTTTATCCGCCTTCAATCAATATTTTTACCAAAGTTGAAGAGAAAAACGAAAGAAAAAAAATGTTAAAAAAATCACTGATATTTTATTTCTATCTGACCTATCAGATATGAGCATATGAATATCGAAACAAGGCTTAATGTTGTTACATCATCAGACTAGGAGTCAGACAAATGTCACCTGCCCTACATGCATGTTCCTCATTTCTGATATCATGAGATATTCATGAGTGTCAGAGAAGCAGTGACCTTTTTAGCCGACTGCACAATGACCAAGGTTCAGGGTTAGTGGTTGGATCTCATGACT